AGTTGAAAGGTATTTTCACACTGTTTTTATTTCTGTCCAAAAAAAAAGTCATTCGTGTCCCAATATTTTTTTTTCAAATACGAACACATCTTAATTCAACTTTAAATGGCGCTCCTTCATCCTACCTTTCCCTTTCATCCTTTGAATGAGTTTATTAGCATAGAAATAAAAAGTTAGAGAAAATACCTTTCTAATGACACCTCCTAAATTTAAATCGGAAGAGTTTAGGCTCAGTTATTCAAGTTTTTGTTATACCAATCTTTAAAAAAAGTTAAAAAACAGCATCAAAAATCTCATCATTACGATTCCGTTAAAAATTTTTTTTAATTTTTTTTAAATATTTTTCTGAAAATTTTTTAAGCTTAAGGCGTTTTGTCATTTGAGGAGATTTTTTCAAAAAAAGTCTTTAAGAAACTATTTTTATTCATAAAAAACTCCATTTTTGGAGGTATTTTCAAATCGGTCCAGCTCACTTAAATCTTAATATTTTTCCGAAATATTTTGGTGGACGTCTTAAAATATAATAGATTTTATAATTCCAATGGAAAAATTGTAGCGATTTTTTTTTGTATAGGGAGTGATGCAGTCTAATGTACACCATAACCTAAAACAACAAATGGGTACGGTTTAGTACGTTGCCGATCTATTTCGAGGTATTGCGTCCAAAGGGGTGACCAGATCCAAAAAAAATTTGCACACTCTTATAGCCAAGGGTCTACACATTATTCTAACACCCACTTTTGCAATTTTTGTTCACTAATTTATTTACAAATTGGGTTAGAAATACGCCCTTTTTTGTAAAATTCGGAAATTAACGTACATTTATTCTCCTTAAAGCAGCCACTTCACGAAAATATTTTTATATTCTCCTTCACTTTACACTTTACTCGATGAGTTATAACTTACTTTATGTCTTTAATATTAACCAATTAATCAAAATTTATTAAATAAAAACACCTTCTAAATCATGCGTCTGACTTTGGTTGCATATGCAAATTAAATGGCGGAGTTCAGCTGTCAAACTCCAAAATATGCAAAAGAATAAATAAATACAAAGGTGTTCTCTGCAAAAGGTGTTCAGCTCCTTTTCTTCGCAAAACAGAAAGGAGAATTCTACTGCCTGAGGTTTATAATCCCTAATCCTACGCATAAAGGTGTTCTCTGCAAAAGGTGTTCAGCCCCCCTTCTTTCGCCTGATAACCACCTTGCGATAACTTGTTTTATTTAAAAACCCCACAGATTCTGTTAGTTGGGTT